CACCGTCAGCATCATCATCATCATCGGCAACAGCATCATCAGCAATAGAATCATCATAACCAGCATCACCAGCATCATCGTCATCAACATCATCAACAGCATCAGAATCATCAGCATCAACATCATAATCATCATCAGCATCGTCATCATCACCATCGTCATAACCATCTCTCCTGACTCTCTCCTCCTCCCCCCTGCTCCTCTTCCTCCTGACACATTAACGTCAAGTCTTCCCGCCACACCGTCGGCCTCAGTTCGCGGCGCGGTGCCTACAAGGATTGCCGCAGGTAGAGGAAGGCAAGGGAAAGGGTAGCCATCCCTTTCCCCATGCGCCACGGGCAGGCGGCGCTGTACGTGTTTCCAGTACCTGAGCCGAGACGGCAGCAGTAGATATGCATAGAATGATGATACGAGCGGGCTTCAACCACAGCTCGCGACGTGGTGCCTCAACCTCCTGCTTCGCCACCGCCACCCCCGCCACGATCTGCGCAGCGCCAGCCCTCGGCGGCCCGCAAAACCGAGCGCGCGCAGCGCCTAGCCGCCCAACGCCGCGAGCCCCGCCTGCGCGGCATGGCGCACGACCTGTGCCTCGAGGCTCGCGGATGCCATGACAGTGGACATCCTAGTGATCCGATCGTTGAGTTAATAATGTGTTTAGAGTGCTTGAAACATGTTTCAAGCATGTTTAAGCATGTGTTTAACATGTTTAAGACATGTGCAAAGTATTTCTTAGACATCTGGAAAGTATTTGGCAACACGCTTCCTCTCCATTGATCGTCGCCCGCAACCCCAAGTCCACGCGCAGCCGCCGCAGACTCAGCGCCGCTGCCTGGCCGCCCCTTGGCCACATCCTGCCGTACTCATTGCCATCGCGGTGCAGCATCATGACCGCTTGCTGCGCCGACGACCCGAGCCGCCTCCCCTGCTCCACGGCGAACGGGACGGCGAACAGCCCGTAGTGGCTGGTCTTGTCCTTCTCACCTTCGCGGGCCGCCACTCCAGGGACGAGATGCGCTTAGGCCAAGGCTGCTGCAAAGGTGACCGCGCAGTCACATCCAGAAGGAACCGGCGACTGCCGCCCAGCCACCACTCGAGCCTATCCATGAAGCGTTCACGGATGAATGGCGCCCTCGGCGTCGACCACACACAGCTCTGGCACCGCCGCCTCGAGCTCCACTGCCGCTCCACTTGCGCGCAGGTGCAGCGCCAGCATGGCGACGGCAGCTGTGTGGCACCGCAGCCAGCCCGCACCCGCGCAGCAACCTGTGAGATGGTGTAGGTGAAATCGCATGGGTCATCGTCCCCCTTGTTCTTCCAAGCGCAAGTTTGCCCAGCCTTCGGCGCCGCGCAAACGCCCAAGCGGCTCTTGGCAGCGAAGGCCGACTGCGAACTTGCCGCTCGCAGCGCTGGCCGGACGGGCACCGTGGCCCAGAAGGTGCCGCTCCCAGGGCAGCCGCCCTAGAGCATGCAAGGTCAGCCGGTGCGGATCCGTGAGCATGAGCACGAGCATGACCGTGGGGCGCCAGCCCCTGTCCACACCACTGACTGCAAAACTGCACTGGCAGGCAGAGGAAACAGGCAAGAAAGGCGCCCGGGCTCTCTGGCTGGAAGGACTCGTCGAGGCACCGAGCGTGCGAGGTCGGCGCCCAGGCGGGGACGGCACGGGCCAGGCGGCGAGCCCGATCGGGCGCGCAGCCCTGCGGCTGCCGCCGGCGGCACCGCCCCCAGGGTGACTTACCTGCCTGGGCGGCACCGTCCACGTGGCTGCGCGGACGTCTGCGGCTGCCAGCGCCCCCAGGCCCCTCGTCGGGCGACTGCGCGCGCGGCTGCTTGGGGGAGCCCTCCTCTGGCTGCGGCCTCTCCCTCCGCCCCCCTGAGAGGCTGCGCGGGCAGGGAATCTGAATACGTGGCTGGCTACTGCGTCAGGGTGCAACGGTCCACCTTCATACTTCCTCCTTGCCGCGGGCGTAAAGGTGGGAGCACCGCCGCGGAGCTCAACGCCAGCATCTCGGAGTATTCCCGCTGCTCGTTGCGCGGGCCTCTTCTTCGCTTCGGCCGCGATGCGCCCTCCCCAGCCGCGCAGAAATTGTGGCCGCGAGGTGCGAGTGCGTCGCATGGGTTGTGAGGAAAGCGGCAGACGCTCCCTCCCTCGATGGCAGCGCCATACCAAGCCCCCCGAGCACACCGGCCAACTCGGCCTGGCTCCTCGTCCTCGTCCTCCTCCTCCTCCTCCTCCTCCTCCTCCTCCTCCTCATCATTATCGTCGTCGTCGTCGTCGCCGTAGTCGTCTTCCTCGTCATCATCATCATCATCATCATCATCATCATCATCATCATCATCATCATCATCATCATCATCAACATCATCATCATCATCATCATCATCATCATCATCAGCAGCAGCATCATCATCATCATCATCGTCATCATCATCAGCATCAGCATCAGCATAAGCATCAGCATCAGCATCAGCATCATCATCATCATCGTCATCATCATCACCACCACCACCATCATCATCATCAGCATCATCATCGTTATCGTCATCATCATCATCATCATCATTACCATCACCACCACCACCACCATCATCAATATCATCATCATCAGCAGCAGCAGCATCATCGAAATCATCATCATCATCATCATCGTCATCAGCATCAGCATCAGTATCAGCATCATCATCAGCATCATCATATCAGCATCATCATCATATTCATCATCATCATCATCATCATCATCATCATCATCATCATCATCATCATCATCACCATTACCATCAGCATCAGCATCATCGTCATCAGCAGCATCATCATCAGCATCAGCATCATCATCACCACCACCATCATCAGCACCAGCATCATCATCGTCATCGTCATCATCACCACCACCATCATCACGATCATCATCATCAGCAGCAGCATCATCATCATAATCATCATCATCGTCATCATCACCACCACCATCCTCCTCATCATCATCATCATCATCATCATCATCATCATCATCATCATCATCATCATCATCATCATTCATCATCGTCGTCATCGTCATCATCAGCAGCGGTATCATCATCACCATCACCCCCTCCCTCACCCTCACCCTCACCATCGTCAACGACACCATCATCAGCTTCATCACCATCATCCTCCCTCTCTTCTACCCTGCTCCGCGGCCTGGGCGCCCGCCACCCACTTTGGGGCGGCTGCCACCAGGGCCCAGCGCGTGTGAGAGGGCCCGTGCCAGCGTGCGGTTCAGAGGCACCCGGCGCCATTGGAA